AATTGTTTTTGCTGATGTGCTGTGTTTGGTTTCTGCCAAATGTGGTGCTGTGCATTAACCATTTTCACTTTGGTCTCGTCTGTTGAGAGGACATTCTTCTTGTGGTCTTGTGGTCTCATCAGATCCCACTTTGCAAACCTAAGCTGTGCTGTCATGTTCTTTTTAGAGAAAGGAGACTTTCTCCTGGAAAACCTTCCAAACAAGCCACGCTTGTTCCCTCTGTACTGTGGCGAACTTTAACATTTAACATGCTAACTATGGCCCGTTCAATCCGACATGTAGCTCTTCAGGGTTTTTTGTTTCTTTGTTTGTTTGTTTTTAACAATTTTTCGAGCATTATACAGTCTGACCTCGGGGTGAATTTGCTGTGACATCCACTCCTGAGAAGACACCTGAATGCTGCTGAATCCAAACTGCCAAAACCTCTGCATTAACTGGTGACCAGTTAATCAAGTGCATTAGATTAGCAGCACCTGGATTCTACTCAGCCTCTTAATTTCTCTGAAAGCAGCAAAGCTTAGTGGAAAAAGTCCTGTGAAAACTTTCTGTTAAACTGTAAGATTAACAGTTTAGAAAAGGAAAACTAAACATTTACAAAGAGAAATAAAAGAATGTGTAAGCTACATGTTTGAGAATATAAATTCATGTCACAAAATACTCAAATTCCAGTTGTAGTGAGTCACAATCGCTGCATTACAATTGATTTCCACAAACTTTTAATGCAAGAAAAGGTAAAGATAAGTATAATAAAGTCTTGGCGTGTTGTTAACACAAGCCTACTTGTCTGTTAAAGTTCTTCAGTTCATGTTTCACCCAGCAAGGTGGCTGAACTGAAAAAAGTCATATTTTCTGAGCGTTATCACCAAAGTCCCCGTAGCTATTAATAAAAATCCAGTAATATGTAGTAATAAGATGCCGGGATAAAAAATGGTCAGTTTCCATCAGACATATAGAGCAGTATGTTTCATAGAATAACAAAGGAAGTAGCAGGATCTAAGATTTAGATTACAATCAAACGCCATGAAGGAATACCTTCTCACTCTATAAATTCTGTTGTTCCTTATATAAAGTGTTAAATCACCGAGAATAGTTTCTGAGCTTCCATTCATAAATTGGATTATTTCTGTATTTGTCTAGAATCTGGTGTGAAACACAGTTTAAGGTTTTTCGCTGACTCTGAATTACACCTTTAATATTAAGCAAGTTCAATCCCCAAGTGTTTGTAATAAATGTAAGTCACTGTCTGATGTCTGATGTGTGTGTGTGTGTGTGTATGTTCGTGTGTTTGAATCACATTTCCCAAGACACCATCAATCTGCCTTTCCCCACATTATTTATAAAGAAGGCAGACCTAAATAAATCTGAACACAAACTTTTGAGGAATCTCATGTTGCTTGCCAGCACGAAACAGTGCAGGAAAGCCGAAAAACAAAACAAAACAAAATGGAGAAACAAGATACGCTGAGCAAAAAACACAGAAAGGTAATTCGTAACGCTCTTGACAGCCTTTCCATTTCCATGCTGTGTAATGTAAGCAGACTTGACGGCTGTACCAACAAGCAGCACTCTGCAGAAATCCTCTTCCACTTTATTGACTCATCTCATATTCTCTAACCACTACACTCTTCTGCCAAGGTCTCCTGTAACGCACACTGATTTCTATTACTGTGAGCGAGTCTTTGTGCTTTGTAATCAAACAGATGGAGATCTGTGAGCTGCAGATGTCTGAGCAAAGATTAGTGCACGCTTCATCAATGCATTTCTCTCATCATGATGGATGATGTTCTTGCTTTTTGATCTGTAGAATGGGATCATTAATTAAAAGCAAGTCGTCATCACTGAGATGATGTTTTTGTGGTAAATTCTTCTTTCATTATGTAAGTGACAAATTTTTCTGGCTGTTAAATGCCCCACTTTGTGCTGCCTCTCAGTGTCTGCATCATCTTCAACCCCTGCTAACCTCTCTCTTTCATTTCTCCCTTTGGGGTCAAATGGTCAGAGATGTGCACTCACAGCTCTGCTCGGGGTCAGCTACCACCTTTCAGATCCCGCAGAGGCCCCGTGGTTTCACCAGACCCCCACTCAGCGCCACCAACCCGGCAGACTGCACGCCTATCAAAGGGTTCTTTCACGGCCCTCAGCACAGTTTCGGGACTCAGAGATGAAAATGGAGATTTACTGGCCCTGGATGCCATGCTAAGATTGTACAGCTGTAGACTTATGGCTCTGAAAAAGGAGCTTGAGCCTCCACCTTCAGTCAGACCACAGTGTAAAGGACTGCTACACACCCAGGTCTGTGTTCCTGAGTATTAAAAATAACACCAAATTGAGTGTTGGCAGTGCCCTCTGTACCAAACATGTCACGCTTAAATGACCAGCCAGTGTAACTGCCTTTACACACCAGTGTTTTCACTGTGCCTACAAATCCCTGAACATGATATACGTGGAAGGCAAAGCAAGCGTTTTATGAATAATACTCCTGTGTGCAGCTGTCATGGTGCTCAGGCACTTTCATGGATTTTATGTTATTTCTTTAAGAAAATGAAAATTTAAAAAGTAGCCCTGTCAGACAAACATCTTGCAAGGAAATTTTCCAGTAAAGAGCAGGATCTTTACACGGCATGGATATTCTGACCAAGTGCTCCTCACATGGAGTAAAGGCAAAAACCTCAGCTGTTAAAAAGAAGGTCAATCTCCATCTTGATTGAAAATATGTTGCAGCTGCAGAGCAACGTGTCATTTTCTGTTTTTTACTTCTGAAACATGTTGTTAGTACAAAATCATAGAATAGAATAGAATAGAATAGAATAGAATAGAATAGAATAGAATAGAATAGAATAGGCAAAAGTCAACAAAGTCCTACATGGTAGAGGTTTCAAAATAGATGTGCACGAGTCTGTGGATAAAAACAGGCACTATCTCAATAATAGCTAAAGTCAACACCTTTATAATGAGTATCCTAGGACTGATTTTTGAGTGATCGTGGCAGGATACAAAGTTAACAGCTTTGTGCAATTGTCTTGAGGCACCCCTATTTTTTCTCTCTCCAAGCATCCAGGCTCTTTGTAATGTTTTAAAGTGACCTTGAGCAGCAGTTCGTTGGGGTTTCTGAAAGTCTTTTTTTGTTACTCATTTTTCAGTCCAGTCCTTGTACCTGATCATTTTCAGAGGAAAGCTTTTTCTTCACTTTAGTGCTAACCTCTGAATCATTCAAGCATAAAAAGGCACCTAACTCAAGGGATAAACCAGTGTTGTGTCTACACATAGGACACAACTTAGCAAAGAACCTATTTTAAATGACATCATTCGGCACTCTGTTACCTCTCCAAAAACACATAATTTGTTCCCATTTTTTAGTTGAATCACTGAGAAGTTTAACACAGTTTGACAGACATAAAATGCTATTTATATGCCAACAAGGTGACTCTCAAAGCGCTATTAGCTTAAAAAATCAGCATATCCCAGCATGGTGTGCAGTGTCTCCTTAAAAATTTGAGGAAACTGGACAAAAGAAAAATTGGCAGAACTAAAATCCATCTATTCACGGTGGCTCAAGACGTCTGCATAGTAATGTATATATTGATGTTATTATATAAATTTAGGCACAGCAAAGAGCCTTTAAAACAGTAATTATCAACCTAGAGTTTGTAACAAGCCAAATCTGAGCTCTTGACTCCTGAAAATACCTTTATCTGAATGGTACAACTAAAACGATCCCATTTTAAGGTCTTAGTTTTCATGTTATTCATTTATATCTTCACTGCCTAAAGTGAGTGCACACTTTATTCCTCTGTGTGTGTGTGTGTGTGTGTGTGTGTGTGTGTGTGTGTGTGTGTGTAGCCAAATCTGTGAGGTGGGGGGGGGGGGGTGAAAAAGAGAAGGGTGTGTTATGGAGACTGTTGTAGAGTAATTGGTGTAGAACAGGTGGCGCGCTGTTGACACTGGAAAAAAAGTATGTGAAAAATGTGCTGCTGCCATGCAATCACAAAAGGAAAAGGCTGGCGGTTGACTTAGACATTTAATCACCGTGCTGGGTGATAGGTAGTGGATCAAAGGGAGGCACGAAAAAAGCCTAGAACAAGGAGAGTCATCAGAGGAATTCCTCCATGGTGGAGTCAGGCCAAGGCACTGACAGAAATGCTAGCTGGTTATTATGACACTGGCCTCAGAGTACAGAGATGTAAGTAAACAGGAAAGCAGAAGGTTTAGGATCTCAGAAGGTTCCTCGGGTCTGAATGAGAGTCCTCTCATGTTGTTTTCCGGATTCAGCATTTTCTTGTTCTTCTCCTGGCTCAGACTCCTCTTTTTCATACCAAGCTCCACCTAAAGGTGCACACTGTGGTACTGTAACAGGATTCTCACTACAGGGGATACAATTAATAGTATAAAAAAGATCAGAGCGCTGATGAAAATTACTTGTGAGAAGAGCATGTGTATTGTTTGTATGCGGATGAAGAAGACGGCAGTAGGATGTTTAATCGGCACCAAAAAAGCACCTGAGCTGAACACACTGGAAGAAAATTTCTCTTAAAGTTTAGAGGTGAATTCAATCAGAACTTTATGCATCACTTAAAAATTAAAACATATATAAATCTCCTTAAAAAAATAACCTGAGGCCGACGCGGGTTAACGGCTGGCATTAAAGCTCATTATCCTCTCAGAGCACATTACGCACCGGAGAGGGATCCAGTTACCGGCTTCGCCCACACCGGAGCCACGCGATTCAGGTCCTCCTCATTTTAAAAAGAGCTGCTACCCTGCAATTCCCTCCAGAGCTTCAAAGAGTTGATAAAGTGTCTCTCGTGTCAGTGGACTGACTTTTTGCACCTTTTTCGTCAGTGGAAGAACTGAACGAGAGTGCACGCCAATACGCGACTTTGCCAAACTGCTGCTGCTGTTGCTGATGGTGGTGGGCTGAACCGAGAATCATCAACTTTCCATTTTTGTTTTAGTTTATTTGCATCCTTCAGAGTGTCTCCGTCTTTGATCAGAAATGTCACCGGACCACATGGGAGCATTTCGCGCATCGGTTTTACTGACTTGGGTGATAATCTGCAATAACGTGCTGTGTCCCGTCCTCGGCTATCTCTACAACAACCGCTACGCAGGGTGAGTGAAATGCCCCCCCATTCATTTCTGAGGCTACTGGGATTCCCATTCACGTAAACACTGAGAGGGAGACAGAAGTGTTTAGAGTGAAGGAAAGGCGCACTTTGACAAGTCGTCTGCAGACACTACCATTTATCTTATGAGAGACTGAACAAAGACAGCCTTTGTGCTCGCCATCTCCACAATCCATGTTTCCCGTTTGAGACATAATACCATGTTTAAGTTTGCTCTAAATTTTTCCCAGAGTGTTCTTGTTGACTGATGGCATTTGTATAAGACCGTGTCTGTTGTGTCCAGATTACTCAAAATACAGCACAGATGACAGTGGGGATTCTTGAAGCTGCACTGGCTTCCAGCGCAATGTTTTTCTAGTACTAATGCTATGCAGTGGGTTTTTTTTTTTTAAATCAAAGGTCTTGGTTTATCAGTCTGTCTGCAGGTTCATGTGACTGAATGCAGGCAAAGCACCCCATCGCCTAAATTACTAAAATCACTGTTTGACCCCAGATTAAAAATTTGGGGGGCACCTGGACAACGAGATATTTCCTCTAGGGTTTATGTTTTGGTATCATATAGAAAAGGGAGGTTATCACAACTGGAAGCCTCCTCTTCCAAACTTTTCATTTAATATCATGTAATTCATCAACAGAGCATTATCAGACACTGAAATTTGGATTCTCCAAATGGAGGAAGGCTCAGAGTAGTTTGTTTAAATATAAAATACTACTGAGAGCTTTTCGGTTTAAGGGCCTGAGCGTCTTAAAAACAAATTGCTTCCATCCCAGAAAGGGTTCTGCTGTGAGAATCAACAGACTGACAACTTAAGGACAGCTTTAGCCCCGTAGCTGGTAGAAACAAAGCAAAATGTCTTTGCCAGTCCAGCTTTGTAACAAAAACAGGCTGTCAGCTTTGAGAATCATTAAAACATGAAGGAATGATTTGGCCTAAAAAGCATTGGGATGCTAAAGGCTGTCTTTGTTTACGCCATGCTTATATTACTGTACCAAAGTCCTGTGAACCTTCTTCTAAACGCATGTTACTCTGATGTTTCAGGAACTGTGTTTCAGTATGTCTTCTGTCATTGCTCTTTTCGTGGAAACAGGCTGGGTTTCTTTTTTTTTTTAGCAGCGTGAAATGGGGCAGTCACTCATGTGGGACACCCAGACGCCTTTGTTGCTCAGACCTTTAGAATGGCCTACTGCCACCTTTGTTTAGGGGGGGGGCCCAACTTCCTGTGTGACAAACCATTAAAAGACTTTTGAAAGAAGTGAAAGACGAAGATGCTCAAAGAGAAGGTGGAAAAGTGGGAAAACCAGGCAAACAGACAGGTTTCTCTGCAGATAAAATAAAGCCTATCGTAAAGAGAATGTAATGAAAATACTGCCGGCATGTTAACTGTAAGGTAAAGTGAAGACGCTAAGATCTGCAGATTTAATAGCAACATGATGTAAGATTCACATTGAGGAAAAAGAGAGCCTTTGTTTTGCTGCCAGGCATAAAAACGTGGTTTGCAGACTGGATTAGGAGCACTCACAGGGTTCGCGGGGTTACAGTTTTTTATTCCATTATCTGTGAACATGTCAAGAATTGTATGGGGGTGTAATGATTGCTGTCTCGGTGGTGTAATTTTTAACTTTTTTGCAGTCAAATGTATTCTTGTTTCTTAAGTTCACTCAGGTTTTGCTTTAAATCTCATTGAGTCCATTAATTCTAGTAAGATAAATCTCATTGTTAAATATCTATCTGTAGTTTTATCTGTGTGGATTTATCTAAAATTACACAACTGGAAAAAGGGTTTAACTATATTTTTAAAAGTAGGCAAATGCATTAAACTAATTGCTACTTCTAATTTAGAAACAAAAGATCATTATACTATGCTTAAATGGTAAATACATGACATCAGTCCATATTTACAAGATGTACTGATTTGCAGTATGAAAATGTGAAGCAGCTGCCGCTGCTACTGTATGAGAGCTGCCAGGGACTCGTTCCAGGTGCAACCTGCAGAGCTGGAAACGATGAAATATAATCCTTTAATGACACCTCAGACAGATTGTTTGGCTGGGGTCTGATCCTTGTCATCTATACTGAAAAAGGACCCACCCATTTCCCCCCATCTACAATCTATGCTGCTTTAAGAAGTGTCCTCTTCTATTGGCACAAAAGCCAGTTTCATTACCTGACACAATGGCCCAGATGTTTTTTAAATGATGTGTTTTTTCCAAAACGAAAAAAATGGATCAAAGACCTGTTACAGAGCCATAAAAAAAACTTTAGGATACTTAAAAAAAAGTGCTTACAAAAGCTTTTCTCTTCACAGTGATCAGGTCTTCAAGATCACGCCAAGTAATGATGAGGAGGTCCGGACCCTAAGAGAAATTCTCGGACACATGAAGGTTGGCACTTTATTTTGTTTCATGTACACCTTTTATATCCATTCCTAGGTGCTATATATTTATGTGATGTGATACTTTTAGCATGTTAAAAGTTTAATATCTGTTATTATTCAGCCCACATGAATGTCTGACAGCTGAACATCGGCCACAGACAAGCAGTTAGCCCCGATGCCGGTGGGATGGTGGGCCGACAAGGCGATGTGACACTTTCAATGAGGCAGAAAGCAATCGAGTGTGTTCATCTGTCACAGTCAGGACACATTTGCAATCTGAGAGACTGAGATACTGTCAGCGAGACACTCGGCAATCATTTTTAATATGAAACACCAAAAGAAAATTGGATGAAATACAAAGGAGTTTGTCATATTGGGTCAAACGCCTGGATGTCTCACAACTTAAGAACTAAATGAACATGTGTTTCAAAGATACTGAAATTACAGAGGGGAACCCCCGCAGGACACAACAGCCCTTGCTTCTTTTCCCATATTCATTTGGAAGTAATTACCCCAGCCAACAGCATGGCCTTCATTATACATTGTTTTAGTTTGCTAATGCAAAGCTAAATTGTTTGCAAATTCATAATTCATATCAGGACTCTCTATTTTGTAAGATTAAGACTTACAAAGAGAAATCCAGTGATCCAGTCATCCTCTGTGAGCAGGAACACAAAGCGGATCTATTATCCTTTTCCTTATTTTCTGGAATATATGGCATATGGCTTGTTAGAATGGTGGAGCTTCATATTAAATATGGTTTCAAATAATGAGGTCAAAGTATTTGTAAGTAATATGTGAGCCAAATGCTCAGTTTAACCAGTTTTCTCTTCTGTCTCTCGCTGATGTCAGTGAGAGTGGGTGTCGTTAATACGGCCATCCTCGGGCACAGTTGGTGAGAGATTAGAAGAAAGTTCGTTTACAGCGAGAAGGCAGGGAGCTTGTTTCAGACAGTGGATCAACTGCATCAAGGTCCAGGATCTCTAACAGAGTCAAAGGTGGCAAATGTGGAGTTGGGAAGGAATAATAACACTTTGTCCCTTCTAACAGCTCTCAAAAGGTCAAAAATACACTTAAATTTAAGACTAAAAACGGGAGACTGGGTGCACCTTTTTCCCATGGCTAATTATGTTCATATATTCATAGATGTACAATCTGAGGGTTATTTTGTTTGACAGGTTTGCTATTACAGAATAATTACCTTGAAAGTCTGCTTGTAGAAATAATAACTGTAGAGTTCATTTAAAAAAATTGAGCCTTGGTGGTTCTAAAATCCTGGTTTTCAGACAGTGTGGTCAGTTTTAGCTTTCTTTGATATACCATTCACCGCAAGTGGTCCAGGAACGCCAGGCCAGTACGGCCCAAAACAGAAAAAGGATTGAAGAGAGACAAAAAAAACCAGAGAAGTACTTAGTAAATGCTTTTTGATTTGTAGGGAGCGACACTAAGAGAGAGCCAGGCTCCTGGTCGGGCCTCAGTTTTCTGTATGAATGGGCAGTGGACAGGGTGCTTCAAGGCCACCCAACCAAAGCAGCAGCAGCCACTGTTTGGACAGCTGTGGACATGTGTTTTCAGTAGCTTGTTCACACTGCCATGCCTCCAGTGTCAAGTCAAACTTTTCATTTTCAGGGTAGGCATGAGGTCGAATACACTTCAGGGTGCAGGTGAGTCAAAAATCGGACGCATCACAGACAAAATAGCATCATTTTTTAGAGATCTCCTTTTACCTGGGCTCCTCATTTTGGAAAAAGCTCGGCAGTGTCTTCAACTAAGGATTTCTTTCCTCCCTAAAATGTTAAAAAAACAAAACAAACATATATAGAAAAAAAAGTCAAGAACAAGCTCTTAAAGTTAATACTCTCATCTTGCTTTTTTCCTCTGACCAACTATTTAAAGCTCGAGAACATTTAGTTTATTTGTACATAAGAAAAAGCCGGAAACCCTTTAGAGCTGAGGAGATGGAAATGGGTATTACACTTATGATAGCTTTGCATGAAAACACGGGCTTTACGTGGTTACTGATAGCTTTCCTTTCAAACAGCGGATAGAGTAAACCGCTAACAGTTCCAGCTGTAACAGCCGAGACTAAACTGAGATAAACAGAAACATTCAGGGCCTTGATGGGAGCTACAAAAAAGAATTAGCTTCGGTTTCTTTTGGGGCTCATGTTAGATTTGTTTGAGACATCCACAGGCTAATATGAAACTGATATTCCTGTCATATTGAAATCATTTTATATGTTTGTAGAGAACTTTCAGCGTTTTCCTATAGATGACATCATCATAAGTGGAAAATCTCTTTTCCACAGCAGGAGAGACAGTCTTTGTTAACAGGCTGTTGCTGAATTTGAGGATAAAACTGTCACAATCCATGTGGGCCTTACAGGTTTTCAGAATAAATATTGATTGCTCCAGGTATGACTGACCTCCAAACAGATTTAATGCATTTAAGATGCTATAGCTTGTCTAATTCAGCTTAGACAGCCCCGTTAGCATTGTTGGCATTCTTATATTAAATCTACCTTGGCCAACTTGATTTCATTTACTTGATTTCACCTCATCTGGCCTAAGGGGAGCCAGCTCCATTTTTATTGAACCGTAACTTTTTCTTTCTTGTTCTGCCCGTGTCTGTCCTACATCAACCAAAACAAAACAAATCCAATTTATAGCTACGCTGCAAATAAACAATCAAGAGATAAAAGATTTATAAGGCAGACGAAGAATGCCTCTTTGAGGCACATAAATACAGCTATAAAATGTTAACTTAAGGAATTGTATTATCTGATCAGGGACATTTGAGTGCCTTCTGGCATATGTGTTTTGGATTTGTTTTGCTAAAAGACGAGCGGTGCTGAAACATTTGGGGTACTTAACCATTTGGAAACACCATAAAAGTGCAGGAATAGAGAGGGGTTCGCACTCAGGGGCACCATGCATTCCAGCTGAGGGTATTTGACCCTTCTGGCTCTAAACGTAGTTAAATTATTCTGGTATGCATTCTGTAAAGCATTAAACCAATTGACACATTAACAAGCATGTGCATGTTTTGCCGCCATGCAGAAAATGAAAGCCAGCTGAGGGCGTACACATCTACAAACATAGAAACAGCAATCTCTTTACAGTGACTACAGTGCTTTTACTGGTAGATCAGTTGCTTCCTGTTTGTTTTAAATCCTTTTAAATTCTCGTCTTCTCCGCTTTTTTCCACAGTTTTACTGCTATAGTTACTATGTGGTTTATTATTTGTTTATTTGGTTGGCAAGGATATCTGGCTGTTAGGACTCTGGCTATCACATCGTGATAAGTACTGAAAGACCTTGTTATCAAAGATATTTGAGGTCATATAGTAGAGGAGAAAGCCAAGTGAGGTTTATTTACTCTGGATTGTGCATCGGTTTTTGCTCCATTGAATCATTCCCCAAATTTGCTTGAACACGGAAGTAGGAATGGTCCCCTGTTTGGGTCTTAATAAAACTGTGTGCGTGCTTGCATTTGATAGAAAGTGTTTAAAGGTGTAGAATAAAGTATGAATGAGTGAATATGGTTTGTAGTAAAGTGCTTTGAATGATTAGTTAGGTTAGAAGAGCACAATATTATGAAGCCTGAATGCGGTCCAATATATTGATTGATTAGTTTGTCCAGCACGTGTTTGGAACACCACAAACACAACAACTAGCTGATCGTCCTGAGCATAAATGAGTAATCCACGAGTAGTTGGGAAAATAGAACAAGATTATTTTAAAATTGCATTGTCATAGTATCTCAGTAAGGACTCATAAATATTTACACACAACAAATGTCAGGAAAATCTGTTTATGTTATGAGTATAACCCCTGACATATTCGACCTTTTAATCACCAAATATCAGCACTGGTATTGGTCTTAAAAATCCTAAAGCTCTGCTGTGTAAGTGCAAGTCCAGTTTCTAGTGAGTCTCTTTGGGTAGACGGCATAACACACACACAAACTAAAAAATGTTTGTTTTTATCAAAGAAATTAAATTAATCCCATTAAAGTTGGGTGATAATAACCGTGATAGCTGGCATACAGTACGCTCAACTATAGCGACCGGTCAGCTAACAGAGTTTGTTCACTCTTTAGCACTCCTGGCACCTTTCATGGGAAAGTTTCTATCGATAAGCAGGAAAATTTCATGAATTAAATTTGATACTTTTTAAGATAAAACTGCCGTTTCAGTGAGGCTGCTTTTGCCCAAGAACACTTTCACAGTGTAAGAACTTTTACATTACTGCTGGGTGTTTCTGTCACTGTAACCCTAATATGTTCACTGTGTTCCATTAGGTGGATTTCTGGCAGCCCAACAGTGCTTCTCTAATCTGTCACAATGCCACAGTGGATGTCCACGTGAAACGTAACGACACGCAAGGTTTACACGCACGCTTAAAGCGGGAAAATATTGATTATCAGTAAGTATAAAAGCATGGACACTCATATTTACTCTCATGCATGCACCCTTTGACACATCTGTTATCCAAAGGTTGTTTACTCAGCTTTCTCATAACAGAATATGTGATTTGCACATGCAGAATAGACCATATTTTGCACGCAAAGGCCCTCATATTTCCACAAAGCTGGGACACACACACACACACACGTACATCAGAGACACTCTATCAATCTGCTCCAAAAAGCAACGCTTTCATCTCTCGACACCATCCCTCATCAAAATTAGCGCTGAAATGATGGAGTTTTATCAAAGCAGCCACAGCTAGAAAAAATTCCATTGTCATCTCAGTCCTTGGGGAGGAATTGAAGCGCAGAGGAGGATTTTTTTTTTCCACTGTCTGTTGACTGATTGAGGATTTTTCACAAAATGGTTTACGCGGCGGGGGGGACAGGCTTTGGTGGGTGGTTAGGGGTTTCATTTTGTTCATCTCAGTATATTCACAGGATAATGACCCAATTTTTAGCATCATTAAAGGAGTTGTGCATAGAAACTGTTATAGAAGGACGTTATGAGGAAATGTATTTTAGTACGTACCTGCTATAAAAAATGCTTTGAAAAAGATCACATGATATGCTTAAGACTCAGGTGGGAGGTGAAGAAGGATCGTATGTGTACAGGTAATGATGCTTATACAGTGGGGCAAAAAAGTATTTAGTCAGCCACCGATTGTGCAAGTTCCCCCACTTAAAATGATGACAGAGGTCAGTAATTTGCACCAGAGGTACA